GTGAACATAGGAAAAGATGAGGTCTGGTAGAGCACGTGTCCAAGAACAGTACTCAGTTTGCTGAGGCTAGCAGTCCAATATTCCTTTGAAAACGCAAAGAGAAAGCGCTGAAGAATGAGATTTAGAAAGAAACGAAAATCGGAATCCGGAAGTTCATTAAAAGGTCCGATGACGCTTCATCAGAACAAATGCGCTAAGATACTGAAGAGAGCTTTGAGTAAACCCTTCAAAGAGTCGCTCTCAAGATTTGCCGCCGGTAAGTCCGACCTACCAGCGCTGTGCTCTTCTGTATAGGGTCTAACGAACTCAAGAGGCCTGGCCTGCTGTCGACGTCGTGAGTTATTACTTTATCAAATACGTGGACAGCCTCAAATAAGGGCAAGAAACAGCTGGCAAGCCAAGGGTCAACCCTAAGATTTCTCAGAGAAGGGCTATTTCATGGATCAAATAAACTTCAATATAAAGAAGTTTGCACCTAGCTGAAAATAAATTATGCACTATCCAAGCTGCAGGAAAAACAAGGAGCTAAACGGCAATGGAGCAACGAAAATGAGCTCCATTCTCAAGGGACTTATAGAATTCGAAGGTTGGTAATAAGACGTTTAGCGGTGCAATTAGCAGCAGGGAACTTTTCAAAAGAACCAGTCAACCAGAGCTGCCCGACTCTCGAGGACGAGTTATCAGGCGGTCAGCCGGAGGTAGCCATATAATCTGATCCTGGGGGCCCGACAAGCAGCGTTCTCAGTCACATTATCATAACGATATTCTCCCCGAACCCACCCTCTCCAGCTTCTCACTCTTTCTGAAAATCCGATCTAGTCGTCGATTAAGCGGCTAGGCAGCGCTCCCCGTTAGCAGCTCCCTATCGACTTCGGTAATCAAATCAGGCCGGTCCAATCAACTCGTCCACCAATCGCCGTGGGGCGGGTGGAGCAATGGAGAGAGTGTGCGGCGCGCGGAGACACCAGCACGGTCAGACGCCACTACCGTAACCTGACATCTGGGCGCGGTTGCGCAGCAGCGCGCATTCTCAAGCCGTGCTAGCGCAATGAGCGACGGACTCAGCTCAAGCTCTACAGCTCTATCACAGGTAAGTATTCATAGGTGACCATTAACCGAACAGATTTGGCCCGTCTGGTGGCTGGTGATAAGTCGGCGACATCGACGGCGTTGGCATGCCGAATGCGATTCGCCTACAGACTCCGTCGTCAGCGCCGAAATACGATTTGGCCCGCGTCTCTCCACTCCAATAATTAACTTTTCTCCAATATTTCTTCTCTCATAAACTCATTATGGAAATGTGATTGTGTGGGTTTTTCTTCAGGATAACAAGGGAAAAGATCTGGGCGTCGCTCTCCACGATTTCACGGCTTATTACGGATCGCCGTTGGACACCGTCTCGGCCAGTTTACGTCCACTTGGAGACAATACCAGCTCAGGTTAGTTAGTTCTCGCCTTTACCATAGCACGAAGTTGAAGTTATCCCATATCCCGTCGATACTCAGGGTTATCTGCCAATTTATCCCTCTCCGGTTAGCTAGCCAAAGACGGGTTCTCTACATGCTCACTATGGCTATCCTTCACTTGACCCGATTTCGATTGCATAGCTGAGCTTAAGCGATTCCTAGCTAGCTTCATAGCGCGCTAAAAGGCCTCAACCTCTATCAGAACCCTGCAAGGATCATCTCAGAGGCTACCCTAGACTTCGATTGTTATGCAGGAATTCTTTTAACCTATTTAATACATTAGCACTAGTAAGTAATTGAATTCGAACAGCGTTATGTGCGTCCTAAAGACATTACGTCGCTGCAGTCGGCGTAGGCGACGATCGTATTTATTGGAGAATATTCGATAAATTATTCAAACGAGATTCACTACGAGACCGGCACCAGTTAGACAACATTACCTTGGCCACAGCGCCGGCCAATTGGATGGTGGCAGCCAGCTTCTACTCTGAGGTAAGGGACTCCTACAGGCTGAATATATTTAGGAAGATTCCTAGGGCTATTACGCTGGATTCCCTCTAGCCCCTCGCGGTTTCGTGGGTCAGAAATACTCCAGAAATGGACCTTCACCCTGCTCTGTGGTATTTTGGGCCACTTCTCGAAGCAAGCCTTCACAGACTGCTATCGTCCCCCGGATGAGCAACGTAGTTACTTCACGTTGTCCATTTTAAGCTTCTCAACTCATTTTCTTACTGGAAACCGAGTGCAACGATCCAGTGAGTCCTGAATGATACCGTCTTAGCGAATCACAAGCCTGTGAGACGAAGTTCAAGCTTAGGCCGTTCCTG